CGGGGGGGCTGCGCGATATCGTGTACAAGGAATACTCTGCACTAAGGGGGGGGGGGGTGCGAAAACGTCTGCGCAGGGTGGAAGGGGGGGCTGCGCGCCGGGGCACGCGATACGAGGGGGATGGTGACCGGGGTCGCTGCGCAACGTCGTGCGCAGGGGTGCTGTGGACAAGGGGGGGTTGCGCGATACCGTCAGCGCGGGGGGTAGTGGACCAGGGAATGCGCCAGAAGGTGCTGTGCACAAGGGGTGGGTGCGCGACATCCCGGGGGCTGTGTGATATCATGTGGGCCCATGTGCAAGGGGTGCTGTGGACAAGGGGGGTGCGCGATCTCGGCTGAAGCGGGGGGTGCGCATATCGTCAGGGACTGCACTATGTCGTGTGCAAGGGGCGCTGTGGACAAGGGGGGGGGGGTTGCATGGTATCATCTGCGCGCGGGTATGGTGGACCAGGCGGGGGGCTGCGCGATATCATGCGCATGGGGGGCTGTGGACAAGGGGGGGTGTGCGATTTCGTCTGCGCGGGGCGGTGGTGGACCAGGCGGAGGGCTGCGCGACATTGTGGTCAAGGGGTGCTGTGGACAAGCGTGGGGTGCGCGAAATCGTCAGCGCGGGGGTCGTGGACCAGGGACTGCGCGATATTATGTGCAAGGGGTATCTGGTGGACCAGGTAGGGGGCTGCGCATATTGTGTGCGAGGCAGATGATGGAACATCGTGTAAAAGGGGGTGCTGTGGACAAGGGGGGGTGCGCGATATCGTCTGCGCCGGGGGGTGGACTGGCGGGGGCTGGTGAAAAGCGGGCGGGGTGAGCGGGGCTGTCTTGCATAGGGATATGAGCGGGGGGCTAGTGGACAAGGGGAGTGCGCGACCTTGTGGCAACACACTAGGATTGGACTAGCACCCGTAGCTTTGGCGATTATACTGCTCCACCAGGTTGTTTTCTCTCCCTGGCACAAGCCAGGAAACCTGTAAACCCAAATAAGTTGTAAGCCGCGGAAAGTAAACGGGCGGTGCACTCTCTTTGAATTGAAGAATCTCTGTCTGGTCTGGTCGAGTATCATTCCATATAAGCAAACCTCCTCTCGGACGGTTGTCGGGAACTCTTCCATCTGTGGAAGTGTATCTGAGTCAGATGCCAACAGACCAAGTCTTGGCGGGGACTCCCGTGGCTAACGATCTACTTTCCACACGACAAAAAATACCACGGGAACCGTGCCCGCGCAGTGTAACAGTGTAGCTGAAACCTCTTCACCGTCAGATATTCTGTGCGTGAGTGTTCGTTCTATCAAAATACAAGTTAGGAACAATCTCCGCATAGTGGCGGCGGACTGAGAGCCACTCAAAAGCTATCATCATAGCTGTATGGCCAACCATATCGAAACCCATCTTCCAATCTGTTTAATCTACGAAATAAACACATAGGTGGTGGACCTGTTTTTAGCGCTCTCGTTCATCAGGCCCTGCAATAATTCCCCATAATCATCATCTTGATGCGGCATCACTGGGGGGTGGCTGTGAAGTTTAGGATTTACTAACAGTTTAAGGGTTTCGGTTTTAAGGTTCGGTGCTATCATGGTAGGTCTCAGGTGTTTTGGATTTGAGTTCTTCATGCTTCGAGTTTCGGCTTTGCAGCATACTATTTGAGGTTTGAAGGCTTTGACTGTAAGGATGAAGCTTGTGGTTGCTTTATGGCTCCTGGATTTAGGGCATCGTGTTCTGGGTCCTGCGGCTTAAGGGTCTATTTTGGGGTTTGTGCTTTTTCATGCCAAAGCTGTGAGCGGCGTATTTCCTTTATGTTTGGGGGCTGCCAAGTTTTACAGCTCTAAGATTTGTGCTTGGGTGCTCAGTTTAAGGTTCCAAGCCCCAGGGTTTTGCAGGTATAGACTGTTGGGGTGCGGAGGTGGCTGCTTGCTGCGTTTACCTGGAGCCACCTGAATGCAAAAAAACGGACAAATCCAGCTACTCCCGCGGCCTTTCTCTCAGAAACCAAGAGCTGCTCGCATAGGACTACCTGGACAAATCTTTGCAAGTGGCCTGCTCAACTCTGTGCAAGTGCGCGTGAGGAAGAGTGTTTGCGCTACCTCCGGCTTCTTGGCCGCTTGTTGAGCTTCGTCAGAGTCAGGCTCCTCGCCAAAGGCAGCAACTCAAATGAACTGAAGCTGGGCTGCCTGCCATTGCCTCATCCGAAACCAAAGATATACCCCGCTTGCGTGCGTTCTCATGCAGGAGCCGCAGTCGCCTATCACAGCGCAAGTGGTGAGCGTGAGCCACGTTGTTTAGCACTGCACAAGAAGACAAGAAGAGTCCTTCTGAGCAGCGTGTTCGAGCGGGCCAACGCCTTTACCCGGAGATCTCAAGAAGATCAAGTGACTCCATGGAACACTATGCGCCTGCAGCTGTGTTTGGAAGCTTTCAGCTTCTTCTTTGAAAGCATTTGCGAGCTCTTTCACCTCAAGCAGCAGCGCACGCGTCAGATGCAAGGACAGGTAGTCGTTTGCCATGCGAACCTCCTCGAACCTATCCAGCATGGTCCAGCTAGGTCGAGCACATGCTCATCTGAGGACTCTCCCAATGTCATGCTGCTGCCCACACCTGCTCCTTGCACTTCTGCGCTGCTTCTTGGACAAAAACAGCAAGAACAGCTTGGGGCAGCTTACAAGGATTACAGCCTCCAAGCGGATCCGACATTCGTCTGTTCGACCTGAAAACTGCAAAATAACGGAGCAACCCTTGTCCCTCAAAGACAAACAGCACGAGAGCACACCGTGCAGTATAGTGAACTGGGGTCAGCAACGGTCGGGGTGAGCCAGTAGGAGCCTTAGAAGCACGGTTATCATTCAGCTTCACCCAACATGATGAGAAACCATCCCATTGACAGCTGGGTGGGATCTCTGTACATGATGCTTGGGGTGTGCTTCTGGGCAAACCATGTCTTACAAAGGTTACAGCTTAATGGCTCCACGAATCGCAAAAGCCACAACTCTTGACTGCTCGCTTGGCCGTCCTCGTGTCACAAGGATGCGGAACTGCATCGGAGTTCTCGCAATTTATACATGTCCGCATGGGCCATGCATGACCACGAACAGCGTGCCTCTTGTTTGGAGGCATGCACCTGCAGAGGAAATCCTACAGCCGCGGTTGTCTAATAAAACCATGGCCTGCCATCAGCAGGCTGCAAACGCACTATGTGCAAAGATTCACACAAGGAGGAGCAACTCTGTTGGTTGCATACTGGCCGCAGACTTTAGCAGCCACGAACGACTATGTGCAGCAGTCATGAAAACTGGTCGTCCTTTACTGCATGTACAAATCGCAGCTGCAAGCCAGTTCGACGGAACGCAGCTTCACGTGCGTGGAACATCCTATCAGAGTCGGCAGCGCGCTATGCACGTAATCATGCTCCACCACTGGCACTTGCAGCGCGTACGTTACTCCGATCACGTCCAGCACCCAGGTACACAACCAGGGCCGCGATGTCATCAATATACTCAGCCTTGCTTGCTAAGCATCGAAGGAGCTTCTTGGTTCATCTCTTAGCGTCCATGAATGTTAATATGAGGCCATACAGTCCGTCAAAACTGTGCTTGAGGCTAAAGGGTCCAAAACCAATGAAAGTGCTAACAAATGGTAGGAGGAGCAAGAGCTGTCCATCGCCTGCGTGCTTCGCTAACCAATGCTTGGGCTGCAGATGTTGGGTCGCTGTGCATCAGCACCAAGTCCACGGCTTCCTATGAAGGGGAGGGAACAGCACATTTCTTCTACTAGGCTGCCCGCTCACACATTCAGGGTCCTGAGGACTCATAAACTCCCAAATACCATCGCTGCAAAGCAGGAGGACTTGATCTTCTGGCGTAACCTGCACAAATTTCTCTTACGCGTCTTGCTCAAGTTCTGGTTGGAAGCTTAACAATCATTAGCAAAGGTGACTGCAAATTTCAGCCCGGTCACCGTGTACTCACCTACGTCCGGATCTGCAATGAGGCCGCACTCACCTGAATATTCGAGATTATCACACAGAGGAGCTCAAGTAGCGATCAGCCCGCACGCATGTAAAAAACACGAGCGGGCCAGGGCGGTCGAAGTGCACACGTGAACGGCCACAAGAACTCGAGGTAAATTTCACATGCTGATCAACGACCAACGTTTGTCGAAGAACGCTTGCAATGGACATGCCACGACCAACGTTTGTCGAAGAACGCTTGAAATGGACATGTCACGACCAACGGTTGTCGAAGAACGCTTGAAATGGACATGTCGCAAACCAATGCCGCGACGCGGCCACTGGTGTACAGCAAAGAGTCGTAGGACATCTTTGCAAGCAGTATCACAAGTTGCCCAACGAAGTCCGCCGAGCACAAACAGGCTCAGGGCTGCTCAGACATGTCTAACCGAGTCTAACCTGTCTAGCCTACATTATCAACACGTTTTGCAAGCCCCTTGCCCACTTCCCAGCATCTCCAGACGCGCTTGGAAAACTCCATGTGTTCCCGGTCTGCCAACCCCTCCCTGTCCTGTCCAGTTTCAGCTAGAAGGTCGTTTGGGGTCCATGCTGAAGTGGCCCATCACCTACAGTGACAGCGTGTTTGATATTACTGCCGATGCTTAATGCACATAAGCCAAGGAATGGTAAGCGCCCGCTAGATGCTGTTGGAAAACTGTTGGAAAGGAGAAATTGACCAGCTCTGCCTACGGAGGGGTTGCTACAACAATCCACGATGACGTGTCCTGCACAACATGTGTATCACAGCAATGCACAGTGAATGTTTCATTGCTGTGCAGTTGCCTCCCACATGCAATCCAGGTTGCGAGGCTCAAGTCTGAACTGTGCCACGGACTAGTGTGGTCTCTTTCTAAAGGCGCTTAGCCAAGCCTAAGCAATGCCTCCGAAGCAGCAGTGCCTTTCTGACACGCATCATGCTGGAAACCTTCTGATAAGAAATGTGCAAATGATATAAGCATGTCCTTCTGCAAGGCAGCTGCCTATGTTTCAGGCAGGAACTAAGCATTCGCTACAACCTATGAGCTTGACAAAACATGAGCAAGAGCAGCATGCGAAAGTGAGCGCAAAGAATGTGCAAAAAACTTAAACAAATCTGTAGATTGTCACTTCAACTTTGCTACACACCATCAACCTAAGCTATGGCGTCCCCAAGGAACATGGACCATGCCAATTGAGTTCAAATCAAAAACGTCCGCATGCAGTTTATGATGCTATCCAAATTCAAATGTTTTCCATATCTGGCTTTACATAACAAATGCTGCTAAGTGTGAGGTCCTCGAGAGATATGCCGCGCAACAGAATATGATGTGCTAAGGATATGATAGAATGTGGGAATCCCCAGTGTGATGCCCTCGCGAGACGCCTTTCGCCTATCCGGCACGCCTTAAGTCAACCAATTGTACCGAACACAAAGAACTGAGAATTGTAGGTCATGCTAAACGTCTTCCGACTGACAGGTGCTCTGGGTCTTTGCAGAAACCTGCTGTCTGCCCATGTGCCCAGACTTGACGGTATGCTTGGGATCTGCGCTTCCTTCTGTGCTGCATAACTCACTAGCAGGCGATGAACGAATTTGAATGAATTTGCCAAATGCACACAAGCTGTCGCAAGAAGTTGTACCAATAAGACTTGATGGTCGAGAGTAGACCACGGCTCAGGGGTTTGTAGTTTGTGGAAAAGGGTTATCACAGAAGGTGGCTGGTGTTCTCCAAGTTTGCCAATGTTGAGCCATCTAGATGCTCTGCCAGTTGCCAAGAGGAGTTGGCTTTGATAAATTCGGATGAAGCTGAAGTGTTCGCACGTATGTTTTCACTGCCTTAGACATGACGGCCCAGGGGAAAAGGCTCCCAGCTGCTAACGCTCCAGTCAGAACTTGAACTTGGACATCCCAATGCAATGTCAATCCAGGGTTCGCCATCAGGGTGCAAGGTTTGGGGAAGAGTTCTTTGCAATTAAGATATCGCAATTTGTCACGGCTGCCGATGCTCCTGCTGCAAAAAATCCACAAAGCAAACCACCATGCAGGATTCAGGAGTAAGTCTGTAGATTGTTTTTGTTGTAGGTTGAAAGCCTTACTGCGCGTTTACGGTTTGAGCTGTCACAATTCGACGGCCAAAAATTTGCAGCTGCAGAAGCGTCTGTCAGCATTCTATTTTGCACCAGTCCCTGCAGCAGACGCTGCTCAAGTACTTGTCCTTGTGTAATTTGTAATTTCTACGGGCTATAGTAGATGTTGTATATGACACCACGCGCTCTCTGTCTGCGTTATGTTCAAGTCTGTGGGATTTTGATAACAAGATGCTACGTCCGATGAACGTACTTCATATGCCTGCTCATCTAGTATATTGGGGTCAATATGCCTGTGGGCGGCTGCTACGTGCATTTAAATTTAAAAAAAGGAATTTGGCTGTAATGTTCCAGAAATGCAGTTTCCAGGTGCGTGCTGTTTCGGCGAAAGCCATCCCGGATCTTTCGAGGTACGGGGGGTCGTGTTCAACTTTGCAACACGACCTTGCAATCACTTGCGCAACTTTCAAACAGAACAATAGCCTGAAACGATTTGACCTGAACCCAAAATTTCAAATATCGACATCCCCTCCCAATCCTGTCTCGATGGATGAGCCTTCGCCTACACTTGATAAGTGCTCCAGCTAGCATTCTGGCAACCAAGTCGATGAATCACAGTAACACACACTCAAAACTGAACATCTAGACCCCAAACTGGGCCAGCTTGTTTTCATTCACATGGGCTCGCTTTTCTCAGTGATCCTTCTGCAGCCCTGCAACTATGCTGAAACCAAACAGTAGTCCTATTTGTCTGGGCAAAACAATCTCAGTTGCTGTGAATGTCTCAATCTGACAGTCTCACTATCAAGATCAGAAGGGGTCTTGGCTGGGCTTGTGAGGAGTCCTGTCAAGTCTGTCAAAATTCGGCACGTGACAATAAATCAGAATGCAGCATGAAAGCATCGGCCTTGCTGTTTCCTCCCATGTAAAGAACTCTGAAAGAAGTAAACAATCCGTGCAAAGCAAGACGAATTTCTGCCTGTGACATGAAATGCATAGCCACGCTCAGTCCACGTTCCCCAGGCACCAGCGTGCCAACGTTGTTGTGCACAGTCAAGAACTCTGTGCGATCATGCCCCTAATGGGGTTTGGCACAGCTGGACGACTGATTAGCCCGTTGGGACTGCAGAAAGAGGAACCACGTCACGACCATCCTAAAAATCTGAATCGTATCCCTACTTGCACTGTTTTCTGACAGAGCCAGCGCAACGTACCTGCCTAACACGAACGGCACTGGCAGAAATTCGGAAGAGTTCCTGCAATTGCAAAGACGTCCCATTTAAGAAGCTGAGATGCTTTCCTGAAGAATGACTAAACACATTCTGAGCTCAGCCCGGGACTCGTCAAGCTGACAAAACATGAAAACTAAGCTCGTGCAGACGCGCGCAAGCCGCATGATTCAAAGAAATTCGATGTCTCCGACCGCTTGTAATCAAATCTGGCGTTTGCAAGACGATTTGACTTTTGAGAAGCATCTTGTCTTACAGCTGTTTGACTCTGGACGGTTACAAAGGATCTTTGATAGGTGACCAGCGTGAACTTGCCTTTGCAAGCTGCTGAGCGGCTTTCGACCTGCATTGGCTTTCCAAATGCAGGAATCTTTTCCATACGGATCTGACCCACCAATGACCTTTCAGAGTTGACCCTTGACAAGATGCCCAGTCAAAAATCACAGGGAGTTTATTAATTGCTCATGTGAGATTCCTTACCTTTCTGGGCATATGAAGCATGCTCCTCAGAGCAAGCTCAATCCAGGAAAGCCAGGACCCACAGACAATTGATGACTTCCTCCAGGTCACGGTGTGCGTTGAGATCGCCCAGAGAACGGGTCATGTTCAGACCAGCGCCATAGCCATCTTTGTTGTAGACTCGGAAATCGGAGTAGCCATCAAATTCGATCCTGCCACCCCACGCTACCTCAGGCTGAAAGAAAGAAGCCGAGCTAAAGTCCAACAGCAAAGGTTTCCTTTTAAGCCTGTAAGAAACACAGCATTGCCAAGGCTGGGCAGGCTGGGCAGATCTATGCAAGGGGCCACACGGTCTCGCTCATCACAGAGAGCGGGCTTGTGGTCTCTGGTAAGCTGATGAGCACGGGTCTCACGGCCATCGTCGCCTCGAGCAAAGAGTCTGCTCACGCCCTACAAGTACAGTAGCATTCTTACTGTGCAATCTACCTGTGAGCATGATCATTGCTTTGCACAATCCAAGATTCGCCCAACCACAGCGCTGCTGTCGCCCACATGCGCGTAATTCAACTGACCAGTTTTGTGATTGTGCAGGACAACTGTGGCAGTCGTGCCAGACCATTCCGCATTTAGCTTGTCATGGGCATCGGCACTGTCAATCAACATGTGAACCAGCCGGAATGTATCAAGGAATACTGAGTCCTTGCAGCTCGTGCCAGTAAATCGCTCGTCTTTCATCAAGCATCTTGGCAAGTTGTCCTTCACAAAATTTGCAACATCATGACCTTAGACCCAAAACATTGAAGAAAGACAAATATGTGCTAGGAGAGAAACAAGTTGAACCTTTTTCAGATATAACTCGAGCAAGTCTGTTGAGCTGAGCTTGCACAAGCTGCCACGTGGTCCATGACCGTCACACACGGTGTACAGGGAAAACTCGTTCTCGACACGCAGAACACTCCATGCGTCTTGGTTCAGGCTTCCCGGTTTGAGGCCTTTCTGGCACACACAGTGGAACCTCGCTGTGCAAGCAGCTTCCAAGTCATGGCCCCACTTTTCCGTTTTCTTCAGCGCATCCATGTCGCGCGGATCTCGGGTCCAAAGCTCCCCGTCATTCCATATCAAGCGGTCTTCCACAATGCGTGCCCTTCGCTTCTCCCCAGCAACCATGATTGAGAAGGCGTTGATGCCTTCCCAGGTAAGCGTATTCGCGGCTGGTCCATCTTGAACGACTTCTCCAGAGATTGTCTTGTGGCTTGGCCGGCTTTTGGAAAGCCATCGACCATCAATATTTGAGCTTGTGGAGCAGCACAGCATCGAGCGAGCGCCGCTCGAACAGAATTTTGAGCACACTGATTCAAGCGTCTCCTTCTCCAGCTGGTCCAGAAAATTCAGGTTAGCTCCGTCAAGATCACATAAAAGCCAGCCGTCACCAGTGTCTTTTCCAGTGATAATGGTATTCCAAAATGCTACGTGTTCGAAGTCCTTATCGGCAGCGTGCTTCGAAAGTCGGTAGCAGACTCCATGAGAGCGATCTGCGAGCTTGCTGTTGTCAACGCGGAAGTGGTGCTCACCTTCTTTGACAAGCACGCCAGCCCCTTCAGGGGGCATGAGTCGCGACTTGGTGCTTTAGTTGCTCAAGACTCAGAAAAGCAGTTTGGAGCACGAGCCTCGTATTTCGAAGGGCAGGTATCGAGCTCTGTACTCCACGTCCAACCTCTGCGTAGTCCAACTGCGCGGCCGCATGTTACTGTACCTGCAACTGGCAGCAAGATTGACTTGAATTCTCACTTGACATTTGGATGTCGCAGTATGCTGCTGGCATATTCTTGAAAGTGTCTCAGGGAAGGTATACACTCCCCCACGCCCCCAACCCTCTTGACCCTCTTCCTCTGCCGGGGGATGCAAAGCCTCAATAGAATTTAAGGCGTTTACATGTACTGTGGCCAGGCTGCCATCTCGCAATTCTGGGTTGCTCATTTTGCTCCTCCGTCTTTCCCGCAGTGCACCCCATGGCGGCTACAAATCGCTACTCATTTCTCATGGACATGCTTTGCCTGTCAGAAGCCTGCGGAATTTCAGATGCTTTGTTCAACGAAGCTTGGCAGAGCAGACTGAGGACCACACCGCTGCAACAGGACTGCGGGCATGCACAGCCTGGCTTGCAAGGCTTGCAAGGCCTACTCCAGACGGATGCAGAGTAGACAATTTCAGAATCGGCCTGCAGCTGAGCTCGCAATGCCTGTAAATGGTTGGCCACCTTCACGAACATGCAGAAGTCAAAGTATATGCAGACTGCATGGGAGTGGGCTTGCAGCCTTGCCATGAGCGGTGCTGAGCTGCTGGAACTGCTTCTCAGGCACCGTGGGTTCCAAATGGCCGTGGCCAGAAGGGCCACGCAGCTCCTCAACCTCTCGCTGCAACAGCAAGACCCGGTTCTGAAGTCGATGCACCTGCAAACATTGTGAACAAGCGCTATCTCAAGCAGAAGGAGCTGTTGCAAACTCTTTTTGCTGTGTCTGAGACGGCGCTTAGCGCTTGGACAAGGCAGCTCGGAGCTCGTCGTTTGCAGCTTTGACGGTTCCCTCGACGCCCAGCTGCAGATAGGCAAAGACCGGCTCAGTAGCAGAGTGGGTTGTAGACGGATGGCTTCGATGTCCAGCACTTACTGCAACAATCCCGTCACAATCAACTGCAAGAGGCGTTCCCGCAGGCTCGTCCGAGGCTTTGAAGTTCCGAGCTATCGCGTGCAAACAGGTTCGGACAGTTGATGACGCTAGCTTGAATGCTTCTGGTGCAAGTTGCTCAAATCGCAGTAGCTCCTTTCTCAAGGCATCCATCTTAGGATCAGTCTCACTTGGAATTGCCTCCATGAGAAGGGTACCGGGTGGGAATGCACCGCCATCTGTAAAGACGAGCGCGGAAATTCGTTCTCTGGCCTCTGGCTCCACCTTGAGGAGGTGTACCATGGAAGGTGCTCCGTATGAGTGTGCTACCACCAGCACGCAGGATGCCTGCGCAGGTGAGACATATGAGCTCCAGAGGGTTTGGAGATGCCGGTGAGGGCTCTCCGATCCACTGACTGGAACACCGTTGAACTCGTTGATGTTCGGGTTAGCCACCAAAACTGCCCAACCGAGTTCCTCTGCTCGGGTAATATAATCAAACATAGCACCTTCATGGAGACTTGAGTTGATGCAAAGACTGCGCCCCCAGACCCCTGCAGCGCCACCAGGCGCAGAACCGCAAACAAGGAGTAGCATGGGTCCAGCATGCTCTTTGAGATGACTGCTGGCATAGATCACAGAATTTGCCTCTCGCGCTTCTGGAGGCAGAGGAAGCGGCACCAAACCGCAAAGAGCTGTCAGCTGAAGCTGCACGTATGACCTGATCTTTGAAGAACCCCCTCCGATCCTACCCCAGACACGCCCAGACCTACGCAGACATGTCTTTCGGTGCTCAAATGGTTCTTGCCGTTGCTCTTTCTGTGGCAACGCAGAGCAAACGGGAGCAGTATTATGAAACATCTCAAAAACCTAGATTGCTTACGAACTGCGGTGGTTGTGTGAAATCAGAATTCAAAGCACGTTTCTGCGCCCTCCTCCATGCGTCAACGGCTTTCAACAAATCAATTTCAGTTCTTCATCTCCTGTCTCAAGCCTTGGTGCCTGGCACGACTGCATCGGCAACTTCGTCATAGTTCTTTTGATCCTTATAACATTTTGGATGCAAGCTAAGGTAGCTGTAGCTGCAAGCAAACCCTGTCCTTCCACTCGAAACCCTTCTCTGGGTTGTCCTTCTGTCTGAGCACCAGGTCGCTCTTTCCTCGTGCCCCAGGCCTGAAAATCGAGCATCACGCACGGTGCAACGTGAAAGAAGCAGGCTCTGCCCTCACAAGCCTGAACTCATAGCCAAGCTTGGCGAGGGCGGTTGCTGCATACATGTTGCAAGTGCTTATCAGATTCTGGCTGTCTCATCCTTGATTTGTTTGCACCCTCTCTATAGAGGTATGATAGGCATGAAAGAAATGTGCAGGAGCCACGAGTCTTGGGCATAAACGGCTTCCAGACTGCTGAGCTCAGGCAGATCATTGAAGCCACTCGCATTTGTAGTGCCTGGTGCTTCTCGGCATCTCTCTCCAGCTCATCATCCGAGGACTCCCTTCCCCGTGGACAAATGAGAGAACTTTAGAAAGGCTGGCAGCTGATAGCTGGGGCCCTGACCGGCGAACAGTGTGTGCGTCTGGGGTGACAGCTTTGAACATAAGCCGGAACCTAACGCAGGGTGCATGCATACCAAAGCTTCCCTCTTCCAATGCCAATGCTCGAGTTTCGCAGCGCGTGCCCATGCTTTTGCCCGTCGATTAGTGCAGTCAGTCTGCGATGGAGCAGCTCCACCTCCAGAACGTTGGTCTGGCAGGCGATTCAAAACTGCCTGGCGCCTATGATTTTGACTTTGCCTTCTCAGCACGCCGTCGAATCTCGATATGGTCTTCAATGTTTGCCTCGTTCACAAAGTTTCTCATGAGCGTGATTGAGGGAGTAAGGCTCTTTGCCCAATGCCACCAGCGTGCTGGCAGCACCACAGTCTCACCCTCTTCAACAACGACCGAGAAAGCCTGCGCTCGTCGCGCATCTGGAAAGCGCTCATAGTCAGGATTCGACGGATCAAACAGAGACGTGCGTCCGTCCACATCATCCACTGGCATGCTGTGCAACAAGTGCGTTTCGCCAGGTGGATAGCAGATAAATTGCTTTCTGCCACGTATTTGAGACAGCCAGACATGAGTCGCATAGGTATCATGATGAAGACGCGATACTGTTCCAGCTGGACCCATGAAGATCTTTGTGAGACTCGCGTTGAAGACCTGCGCTGGTCCGTCGCCAGAGGGAATGCAATCCGAGACACAATATAAGCGGTCAGATACATCACTGAGTAGCTCTTTATGATCGAGGAAAGGTGCCCAGCCATTTGCATAGAATACTCGATCCGGAGCTTGGAGCGGCCCGAAGACACTGGGCTGGCCCTGGACATATCGCACAAACTCGCGGAGCGGAGCTTGGACCGTACGGATGAGGCCACGGTCACAGTGACGGAAGAAAGGGGCCAGGTCACTGCAGGGCATAACCTCGTCACCATACCTCTCTGCAAGCCAGTCGAAAGTCCATTTGTGCCGGGCCGGCCAGTTTGTCTGCGCATCTGTCAGAACTACTGGGATGCTGCTCCGAAAATTACCATCCATTTCTGCTGTTGATAAGCCTGCAAGCTTCCCGACCGACTTTGCGCCTTCCACAACAACTTCGGGCAGAGCCAGCGGCAAAGGTTTCAGGGTAGCTTTGCTGAGGGCAAGTAAAGATGCAACCGGCAGCCAGAGCTGTGTGCCCTGTGCATGGTGTGCTGCCGCAACGAGTTCTTCAACACTCTGTCTTCGAAGAAAGAAAACCTTATTCCATGCGACCATCCCTCCAAAGCCATTTGCTTTGCATGTGCTCTTTGCAATCTCCGCGCCGTCAGTCACAGTACCAACATCGTGGCCAGGTAGGGAATCAGTGTGCAGGACAATCACCCACTCATCCAGGCCCTTCTCTGTGCAGTCCTTGCGGTGATCTTTCCATGCCTTGCGCTGACACTCTTGGGAGCAGAAGCGTACATTGCGGCAACGGCTGCAAAGGAAGGCGGCGCCGTGCACGCCACAGCTGCAGCAAGTCTTGCCTCCGTTTGAATGTTTGACAGCGCCATTGTGGAAGGGTATCTCCTTCAGGCGCGTCATGCTCGCAGTCAAAAAGGTTTTGTGATGGACTGCTGGAATAAGGGTTTTGCTTGATGAGCTGTTGCCACGTTGACGATGCTTCGTCTTATGGTGTTTGCAGTATGTCGTTGTGCGTGTTGTAGAATCGGCTTGGCGAAGAATTTTTTTACTGAGTAACAGATGTGCAAAAACACTGCGTAAGAATTCATTGCTGCGCGCTATTGCAAGTTTGGAGATTGACAACTTCAGCGTCCTTATCCCATCACATCAAGGTACAAGAAAGGGCACTCTCTTGCCAGCTGCCCAGACGTGGCCAGGAAAACATCAGCTTCAACAAATAAGGGTCGGGAAATCTTATGGATTTCGCGCATGATTTCCAAGCTCTCAACTCCAACCGTGTGATTTTGCCATCGCGATCAGAATCGATCCTGCCATGCGCGCAGCATCAGTCCATGCCACCCTGCAGTGACAGAGTCGAACCCTCTGAAAGGTCGGCACCGAATTCATCAAAATATAGAGCTACATGAAGCGGGCCGGCTCCACAGCTTGAAAACTTGCTTGGCCTTGACGGGGTCATAGTGAAGCCCCAGCCTGGCTCACCAGGATGCTCACCTTTTTGCCAACACGAGCCTGGGAAGCCTGGCCTGGAAGACAACAACTCGTGGAAGTGCTCTGCGGTGATGAACGGATTTAGCGTATCGAAGCAGAGGTCCGGCGAAACCTTGGGCAAATCATGCAATGGCCTGCAGATGATGCATGTGATTTGCCACCTTCAAAAAGGCTCGCACGCAAACATCAAATTTGGTTCAGCTCTCCTTTGTCTACCGCCTCCCATCTCCCCTCCTCCCCGCCTGGCCCCTACCCAGTCAAATCGAATGTTCAAGGCCGGGGTCAGGCGGTCGATGCGCGGCGTCTACTAGAAAGTGAACTAAGTCAAAACCAAAGATGCATGTCATGAGATGAAGCCGGAAACCGCCCATGAAGAAGGAGAGTCCAATGTGTAATCTGGGCGCACGGCATCTCCGACCCGGCGAACAAGTTGTTGCACCAACTGTTCCAGCACCTTCGCTGGTTGTGCTGTCAATCTCTTCTCTATTCTTTTCTGAAGATCCCACCATGCTGGATAGCAACAACTCGCAAGTGCAAGAATGCCGTCCAGAGGAATGATGGACACAGACTGTTGAGAAACAGCACGTGCAGCGGTGGCCTCACGACCAACACCTAGGTACTGAAGACAACTTGTACAGCAGCTAGTGTGGAATCTCAGAGCATTTGTAGCCTCATTTTCCTGGAGGTGGCTTGATAAACGCTTTGGAAACCGTCAACTCACTTACTTTGTCCAAAGCAGAATCGGTTTGCTGCATCATTTCTGGCAGAACATTGGGCGGCCGATTTGATGGTTGCACTAAACGGCAAACTGATGTTGTAATTACTGAGATGTGAGCCTCCGGAAGCACCATAGAATGCACCTCCACCTGCATGGTTGTCAAATTTGGCAGAAGAAATGCAGTCCCCCGGCATGCTTGAGCGAAGACAACAGAGCTTGTCAGAGAGTTGGTAAAACTTGTGAATCTCGCTCCTACAGAGCCAGCACAGCGTACTGTCCTTCTTGCTTGAGATGCGTGCATGTCGTGCTTTGACCAGGAGTCGCAGAAACGCTTTTCGCAGGAGTCGCTGTCACGAATGGACATGATTTCGCCCAAGTCTGCGGATGGTTGCAAGTTCGCAGCGCACAAATGTCAGGCATAGTCACACGGAAGCTGCCCGCAGATGGGCCAGATGAACGTCTACCCACCAACCATGGTATACCACGGAATTTTCCAAGGAAATTCATACCAAAGCAAACCCTGCCAAGGAAGCTGATCGTCTGAGAAGCCGGGCACATGAGGACTGAAAAGAAACAGAGAATAAGTCCAGGCACGCTAGTTGGTCCCGCCCAGGCGTTGAACGATGTTACAACAGTTCAAGGACACGAACCAGGCTAGGTGATGCTCCTGCGCAGCAAGTTCCATGATGAGTGCCAGGCAAAGCCTTAGAGTTTCTAGCTGAGCACTTGAAAACTAATATGCTGCTCAGTCACTGTCGGGCTTGAGGGGTGCATGCACCACCGGCAAGTGTCATGAGAATGCATGGGCCGCAAGCGTGAGGATGAGGTAGCCCACCAATCCACGGCAACGAGCAAAGCCAAAGCTAAGCAATGGGCTCAGTTCTGCCTCCTATTTGGCTGCGAAGCAAGCAAGCCTGCACCAGCGGCGTTAACTCTAGATTTGCGAACGTCATGATTCTGAAGCAGCGTGCTTGCGGAATCGTGAGGACAATTTTCCCATCGTTTGGCTTGAAGCTTGTGCGCAATGGCCCACTTGTCCAAGTGACGTCTTTCCGCAAGAAAACTTGTTTCGCATGTTATGTTGCTTATTTCAAGGTTTAGGCGGTTTCCCGACTCGTGGCGCCCATCACTTTGCTGACGCAAAATTTTATGCAGTTCAGCAATCCTTTCAGAACTGGCAGGCTAGGCTTCATGGTGGAGATTTGCAACATGGCTGCCGGCTCAACATCACGGCAATTCAACATCACGGCAATCCTCGGCACCCCACTTGCGAAGCTGAGTGAGGCTAGCGAGCCAAAAGAATCAGCGCTG